CACGTGCAACGTAAACTGTCACGTGACCATGAAGCGCTGAAACCGTAACACAAGCTCCCCCTTCCAACCGGCAAGACCCTTGACGACCACTCACCAAACTAACCCATCATCGCCCTCCACGGACACCCACATATCCATAGACTGGGGTGGTGGTGTGGGGTACGACCTCCCACTCAGCGTCGAGATCCTCTTGAGGCTGAGGATGGAACGCGGTAGGTGCCCAGTGCGAGATGGATCCGTCCTCGTACAGGACCGCCTTCAGTGCCTCCACTCCGTCGGTAAGCCACCCAGGCTTCTCAATCATGGCGACGAGGGGTTGGAAGATGACCGGCGTGAACTCGCGAGGGGTCTTGGCATCTCCGTAGTGGACTTGATCGGAGAACGTCCTGAAGAGTTCAACCTCATACTGTTCAACGCCTTCTTCCTTGCCCGCGAAGCGAACGCTAAGGATGCGCGTCCGGTTGGGTGTTGGATACCAGTCGTGCATGCCTGGGATGGGTGGTGGATAGAGCAGAGCGACCCATTGGCTGAAGACGCGATGAGGTGAGTCTTCTGAGTAGAGGTGCCAGGCGACCTTCTGGTTGTCCCAAGTGAAGACGAAGGCGTGGAAGGTGGCGAAGTCGCCCGTGCCCGTACGGTGGACATAGAGTCGATGGCCATCGCGTTCCATGAGGAATGTTAGTGGTGTAGCGATGAAAACATCGTAGGGTGATGCTACGTCCGGGGCGATGAGCGATACCTGTCCTGCCGCTGGGTTGTTCGAAGACTTGACCTCTCGAGCGTACCTGATTTGTTCCTTGATGGTATCAGCCGGTGCAGGTTGTGATCCATCCTCGGGTGTGGTGTTGTAGGGGTAGGTGGCGCCAGGACGGTGGGGGTAGCCGGTTTGTTCATCGTCGGCATTCCCTGCCTGTTCATCGTCTCCACCCCAAGGTCTCCCCGTCGTCCAAGATCCTCCTGTCGTCCAACGACCTGTCTCATCTTCGTCGTCTCCCCATCGTGCACTTCTCCATGACTCGGCCAGTGCTTCGTCGCTAATGTTGTTCAGGAGCGGGATGTCGTCTCCGTCACTATCGATGAGGAGCCCTGGCTCGGATGCGCTACGGGTGACGGTAGTGGTGACACGGATGTTGAGCGACATGGGTGGCGGTGGTAGAGCGGGGCGGTTCTCTTTATCCCAAGGGTAGATTTCCTCGTAGAGTTCCCACTCGAGTAGGAGGAGGCGATGGTCTAGTAGAGGGAAAGGAGGGCCGCTACTTATACCTTCGAGCAGCCGTTCTTCTTC